CTCCCCCCAGCAGGCCTGGGGCTGGGAGGAGCTCAGCAGGCAGCTCAGTGGACAGGGGCTGGCTGAGGGCTGAGGGGGGTTGGCCCCCCTCCCCCTGATCTGGCGAGGTCCCTCACCCCAGCCCACCCTGTCCACAGCGTTCGAGACCCGCTGCCCAAACGGGATGAAGGTGATCCACTACAAGAGGGCCAAGCTGGAGAAGTGGGCCCCGTACCTCAACAGCAACGGCCTCATGTCCCGCCTCAGCACCTACGAGGACTTGGAGTGTAAGGGGGGCAGCCGGGCACGGGGTGGGGCGGGCAGGTCCCCCGACGTGCTGTGGGACGTCTGGCACATCACTGACGCTCTCTCGGTGTGAGTGCGGGCGGGCGCTGCTGGGAAGGGCGGGGTGGAGGCCCGGGCAGCGGGCCTGGCTGCAGCCAGCACCACTCGGCCACACAGGCACCAAGTTGCTGGAGATGAAGGAGTGGTACCAGAACCGGGAGGACATGCTGGAGCTGAGGCACATACACAAGGACACGGGCCTAATCATTGACTACTTCAAGCCAGGCCATCCCCAGGCTCTGCGTGGTGAGTGGACCCCATTGCCGGGCCAGCCAGGGCCCCCATCGGGGCCTTACTCGCTCCTCAGAGCGGCCCCCACGCGACCGGCGTGTGGCGGGAAGAACCCGTGTCTGTGTAGCGACAGGGGCCTCCTCCAGCCGACCAGGTGTGAGAGGTCAGGGGAGCACAGAAGGTGCAAGGAAATGTGACAGATGTTCCTGCAGGAACACGAGAGCAGGGCCACATGCTGATTCCGTGGTTGGGGTCCGGCGCACAGCGGGGCCACGTGTACAGGGGGGTCAGGATGCTGAGCAATAAAACCAGCAGATGCTCCGACAAGGGCGATGCAGTGGGCAGAGGGCGTGGAGGCCGTGCCCATGACCATGAACGCTGGGAAGGGAGAAAACATAAGGTCAATATACTATCTCCTCCCCCCACCCCTCAAAGAAAGGTCAGCCTCACTTGGTGGTTGAAATAAAATACAGTGGGGCCTTGACTTACGAGTGTCCCGACTAACGAGTTTTTCGAGATACGAGCCGTCTCTCGGCCGATTTTTTGCTTTGAAATGCGAGCTAAAATTCGGGTTACGAGCCAGCTTCAGATACCCCACCGCTAGTTGGCTCAGCGAACGTCACAGTGAACGCCACAACATCAGCCCAGCATCATGTGTCTCACTTGTTCACTTTTGATTTGACATACGAGTAATTTGAGTTACGAGCTCCGTCACGGAACGAATTAAACTCGTAAGTCAAGGCCCCACTGTAAATAAAACTAGCCCACTAAGGGACCATCTTACAGCACTCATGTCATTGTCAAAGATGAAGAAATGGCCGGCCCCACAGGGAGCGAGCAGGTGTGCAAAGCAGCAGAAGTCGCCCCTGTCACTGCTGGCAGGACAGCAAATTGGCACAACCCTTCCCCAGGGCAGTTGGGCAAAGTAACCAACACCAGCCTTAAAATATTCCTGCCTTGTGCGCAGCAGTTCAATGGCTGAGAATTTGTCCCGAGCAAATTATGGGCAAGAGTGGTTTTTAAATGCACGCTGCAGATGTTTATCACGGCGTTGTTTGGAATAAGAAAGGGGCTGGAAACCGCCTACATACCCAACAGGGGGACATGAGTTCCAGACCTAAGGCTCCTCCGTGAGGTCAGGGTTGGGGTATCCAGGGGGTGGCCAGAGCTCCCGGTGCTGACCCCGCCACCTCCCACCGCAGTGCACTCCTACAGGTCCATGCAACCCGAGAACGACCGCGTCATGGAGTTCTACGAAAAGGCCCGCGTGGACGGCCTGATAAAGCGGGAGGAGACGCCCAAGTCGATGACCGAGCACTACCAAGGGCGGCCCGACTTCCTCGCCTACCGCCATGTCACGTACGGGTCCAGGGTCAAGAAGGTCACGCTGAGCAGCGCAGAGTCCAACCCCCGGCCTATGATGGTAAGGGCTTCCTGGGCGGGGACAGGGTGCTCGGACAGGCGGGTGACCCCGGGATGGGGTCAGCCCCGACTCCAGAGGGATGTTCCCCATTTGTGCCCTCAGCCACGAGGCTAGGGAGGTGTCATTTCCTTACTCTTATAAGAAGTGCACACTCAGACTAAACATTTAGAATATATGGGAAAATATAAATATATGGAAATATATAAACAGAGAAAAAATATAAAGGGAAAAAAAAGTAAAAAATATCTCAGCATGGCATCTCTCAGATATTATTACATAATATAGGTTTGGTTTTACATATATATATATTATTGATTTTTACAGAGAGGAAGGGAGAGGGATAGAGAGTTAGAAACATCTGAGAGAGACACATCGATCAGCTGCCTCCTACACACCCCCTACTGGGGATGTGCCAGCAACCAAGGTACATGCCCTTGACCAGAATCGAACCCGGGACCTTTCAGTCTGCAGGCCGACGCTCTATCCACTGAGCCAAACCGGTTAGGTTAGGTTTGGTTTTTAGAGTCTTTTCTAACTTAATTGAGATATGTGTGTGTGTATGTAGGTAGAATCCCTGTATCACCCACTTACTATTAAGTTGTGCATTTTTTCCCCTCCATATCATTACAAATTCTGTGACCACTGAATTGAATGGCTGCATACCAAAAAAAAAACCCCCAACCAACCAACCAACAAAAAACCTCTCTCTAGCACAGTGGTTCTCAACCTTCTGGCCCTTTAAATATAGTTCCTCATGTTGTGACCCAACCATAAAATTATTTTCGTTGCTACTTCATTACTGCAATGCTACTGTGATGAATGGTCATGTAAATATCTGATATGCAGGATGGTCTTAGGCGACCCCTGTGAAAGGGTCGTTCGACCGCCAAAGGGGTCGCGACCCACAGGTTGAGAACCGCTGCTCTAGCAGGAAGGGATGTCTAGTAATAGAGACGGCCACCTGGAGGGGTAGTGAGCTCCCCACCTCCTGAGGTGAGCAAGCAGAGTCTTGTGGGGGGAGCTAGAGAAGACATCCAGCAACACAGGCCTGGAGTGGCTTGGCCCTGAAACCTACGGGGCCACCAGAACCGTTGTCTGGCTCGGGGGGGGGCTGCTCCCCAGGAACCCCTAACTGACCCCAGGTTCCAGTGTCCCCGCCCTCGGGGCCACACACAGAAATCCCCTTCCCCGCCACCCACCCTCTGCATGTGCTGGCCTCGCAGAAAATCACGGAGCGCTTCTTCCGCAACCCGGCCCAGCCCGCGGATGAGGACGTGGAGGAGCGCGTGTTTCTGATCTCCGAGGAGCGCATCCAGCTGCGCTACCACTGCCGCGAGGACCACATCACGGCCTCGCGGCGCGAGTTCCTGCGGCGCACCGAGGTGGACAGCAAGGGCAACAAGATCATCATGACCCCCGATATGTGTCTTAGCTACGAGGTGGGCCTGGGGGCCGTGGCGGGCAGGGGCGGCGGGTGGGTGAGGAGAAGGCCAGGTTCCGGGCCGGGGAGTTCATCTCTGCCCCTGGGGAAGATGAAGAGCTCCCCTCCCGGGGTCCTTCTCTTTGCAGCTCTTCTGAAACTCTTACCCTTTCCCCAGAGAAAGACAACCCAGCAGGCTGAGACCACTCCCTAACCCCCCAGATCCCGAGACCAACGCTGGAGGAGCCGATCCTCTCACCTCCGGGGCTGGCTCTCCTAGTTCAAATCCTCACTCTCCTGGCTCGTTCTTCCGAGTCTCTAGTTTCTCTGCTGTTATTGACAGAGACAGACAGACAGACAGACAGACATCAATGTTGAGAATCATTGATCAGTTGCCTCCTGCACGCCCCCTACCAGGGATCAAGTCCGCAGCTCCGGCATGTGCCCTGACTGGGAATTGAACCATGACTTCCTGGTTCACAGGTCGATGCTCAACCATTGAGCCACACCAGCCGGGCTCATGTTTGTTTGTTTTTATACATGAGGAAACTGAAGCCCAGAGAGGTTTAGCAACTTGCTTGAGGTCACACAGCTAGAAAATGGCAGGGGGAGATTTGAACCCAGGAGGTCTGGCTGCAGAGTCCGTCCTCGACCCCAGCCATTGCTGCCTCTCTGTCACTGTGGCCGCTGTTCCAGGTGGAGCCCATGGAGCACACCAAGAAGCTACTGTACCAGTACGAGGCCATGATGCAGCTGAAGGAGCAGGAGAAGCTCTCCAGACATCAGGCCTGGGAGTCGGAGCTGGAGGTAGGGTCCCCTGGGAGAGTGGGCAGGTGGGAGGTGGCAGGGGTAGGGGGGTGCCTTAACCATGCCCTCCCCCACTTGCCAACTCAGGTGCTGGAGATCCTGAAGCTTCTAGAGGAAGAGGAGGAGGCGCACACGCTGAAAATCTCCATCTACGACACGAAGCGCAATGAGAAGAGCCGGGAGTACCGGGAGGCCATGGTGAGCCTCGTTGCCTGCCCGGCCCTGACTTTTTCTGCACCCCCCGGGCCTCCGGGTGATGAGGATGACTAGGGATTCTGCCCGAAGCCCTCTCTAGGGGATGAAGTCATTGACCTCATTGTGGTCATCCTTGCTGCTGAGCCGGCCATTTCTATGTTTCACCCCAAAGAGCACTCAGGACCCAGGCCAGGGCTCCCCCACCTCCAGGGCCTGAGGCCAACCCAAGGCCTCTTCGGCAGGCGGGAGGAGTGAGGAGCGTGTGCCCACCTCCGCCTGGGGCTCCCCTCGAGCTCCAGACCTGGCCCCGGGCCTGAGTTCTCCGTCCCCTGCCGCACGGGGCGTTCAGGTTACCCGCTCAGGTTGCACGGCCCAGCCTGGGTTCGAGGCCAGCTTCTACATCTCCTTCACCAACCAAGGAGAGATTTCTAAAAACAGTTGGAGGTTGGAGAAGCAGGACAGGGCATCAGATGGCCGGTTCTCAGACTCCCAGGGATGGGCACCGGCCCCCACATCTCCAGCCCTTGTCTACCAACACGAGACAGAAGGCTCCGGGGTGAAAGGGGAAGAGGGAGAGCGTTACTGGTAGTTTTTGATTCAACATCATGAATAACAACCATTTCTCACCATTTACTGAGCGAGCATCGACTGAGCGTCAGGCGTGTGCTGGGGCTCAGGTAGAGAGACGTAAATTCAAGGACGATAGAGAGTTGGCTGCTACCAATCACCACAGGCACAAGAGACAGCACCCAGGCCGCTCTGAGGCCTCGTCCCAGAGGTACCAAGCACTGGGCTCTGGGTTTGAGGACTGGCTTTGTGTGGTCACATGTTGATGCAGAGCTGGCTGGGAGGTCTCTGCAGCCCCTGCTGGTCCAGCTGACTCTCCACCTCCCCCCCTCCCCCCGCCCCCCCAGGAGCGCGTGATGCACGAGGAGCACCTGCGGCAGGTGGAGGCCCAGCTGGACTACCTGGCCCCATTCCTGGCACAGCTGCCGCCAGGAGAGAAGCTGACGCGCTGGCAGGCCATTCGCCTCAAGGACGAGTGCCTCATGGACTTCAAGCAGCGGCTCATCGACAAGGCCAACCTTATCCAGGCCCGTTTCGAGCAGGTACGGCCAGGGCCCGGGTAGAGGAGAGGACCTTGGCATCCTCATCTTGAAAAGGGGCACAGGGCTCTTTTCCCCCCACGTCACAGACGTGGGAGGGACCAATTGCTGGGAGTTTCCAGATGACCAGCTTGTCCTCCCTTACTCTTGTTCATTGGGTGGAAGGGTGGATGAAGGGGAGAGAGAGAGAGAGAGAGAGAGAGAGAGAGAAGACATCAATTTTGAGAATCATTGATCAGTTGCCTCCTGCACGCCCCCTACCAGGGATCAAGTCCGCAGCTCCGGCATGTGCCCTGACTGGGAATTGAACCATGACCTCCTGGTTCACAGGTCGATGCTCAACCACTGAGCCACACCAGCCAGGCTCATGTTTGTTTGTTTTTATACGTGAGGAAACTGAAGCCCAGAGAGGTTAAGCAACTTGCTTGAGGTCACACAGCTAGAAAATGGCAGGGGGAGATTTGAACCCAGGAGGTCTGGCTGCAGAGTCCGTCCGCGACCCCAGCCATTGCTGCCTCTCTGTCACTGTGGCCGCTGTTCCAGGTGGAGCCCATGGAGCACACCAAGAAGCTACTGTACCAGTACGAGGCCATGATGCAGCTGAAGGAGCAGGAGAAGCTCTCCAGACATCAGGCCTGGGAGTCGGAGCTGGAGGTAGGGTCCCCTGGGAGAGTGGGCAGGTGGGAGGTGGCAGGGGTAGGGGGGTGCCTTAACCATGCCCTCCCCCACTTGCCAACTCAGGTGCTGGAGATCCTGAAGCTTCTAGAGGAAGAGGAGGAGGCGCACACGCTGAAAATCTCCATCTACGACACGAAGCGCAATGAGAAGAGCCGGGAGTACCGGGAGGCCATGGTGAGCCTCGTTGCCTGCCCGGCCCTGACTTTTTCTGCACCCCCCGGGCCTCCGGGTGATGAGGATGACTAGGGATTCTGCCCGAAGCCCTCTCTAGGGGATGAAGTCATTGACCTCATTGTGGTCATCCTTGCTGCTGAGCCGGCCATTTCTATGTTTCACCCCAAAGAGCACTCAGGACCCAGGCCAGGGCTCCCCCACCTCCAGGGCCTGAGGCCAACCCAAGGCCTCTTCGGCAGGCGGGAGGAGTGAGGAGCGTGTGCCCACCTCCGCCTGGGGCTCCCCTCGAGCTCCAGACCTGGCCCCGGGCCTGAGTTCTCCGTCCCCTGCCGCACGGGGCGTTCAGGTTACCCGCTCAGGTTGCACGGCCCAGCCTGGGTTCGAGGCCAGCTTCTACATCTCCTTCACCAACCAAGGAGAGATTTCTAAAAACAGTTGGAGGTTGGAGAAGCAGGACAGGGCATCAGATGGCCGGTTCTCAGACTCCCAGGGATGGGCACCGGCCCCCACATCTCCAGCCCTTGTCTACCAACACGAGACAGAAGGCTCCGGGGTGAAAGGGGAAGAGGGAGAGCGTTACTGGTAGTTTTTGATTCAACATCATGAATAACAACCATTTCTCACCATTTACTGAGCGAGCATCGACTGAGCGTTAGGCGTGTGCTGAGGCTCAGGTCGAGAGACGTAAATTCAAGGACGATAGAGAGTTGGCTGCTACTAATCACCACAGGCACAAGAGGCACCAAGCACTGGGCTCTGGGTTTGAGGACTGGCTTTGTGTGGTCACATGTTGATGCAGAGCTGGCTGGGAGGTCTCTGCAGCCCCTGCTGGTCCAGCTGACTCTCCACCTCCCCCCTCCCCCCGCCCCCCCAGGAGCGCGTGATGCACGAGGAGCACCTGCGGCAGGTGGAGGCCCAGCTGGACTACCTGGCCCCATTCCTGGCACAGCTGCCGCCAGGAGAGAAGCTGACGCGCTGGCAGGCCATTCGCCTCAAGGACGAGTGCCTCATGGACTTCAAGCAGCGGCTCATCGACAAGGCCAACCTTATCCAGGCCCGTTTCGAGCAGGTACGGCCAGGGCCCGGGTAGAGGAGAGGACCTTGGCATCCTCATCTTGAAAAGGGGCACAGGGCTCTTTTCCCCCCACGTCACAGACGTGGGAGGGACCAATTGCTGGGAGTTTCCAGATGACCAGCTTGTCCTCCCTTACTCTTGTTCATTGGGTGGAAGGGTGGATGAAGGGATGGATGGATGGATGGATGGATGGATGGGTGGTGGATGAATAGGAGGATGGATGCATGGGTAGATGGAGGGCTGCGTAAATGAATGAATGGATGGGTGGTTGGATGGGTGAGTAGTGGGTGAATGGATGGGTGGTGGATGAACAGGAGGATGGATGCATGGGTAGATGGAGGGATGAGTAAATGAATGAATGGATGGGTGGTTGGATGGATGGGTGGAAGGATGGTGCATTGTAACAACTTCTAGTCCTTGATGCGTTTCTATTGGTTGGAAGTATACCGTGCAGTTCCTATGCATTATCTCATTTAATCTTCACAAAGAGCTCTGTGTGGTGGTGGTGAGTGTGTACAACGGCTCTCATTTAACAGACAGACAATTGGAAGCTCTGAAAAGGTAGCTTTTCCAGAGCCACACGGCTGTCTCAGTCTTGAACCCTGCTCTGACCCCATGGAGTTGATATCCCTCTAAACCAGCGGTTCTCAACCTGTGGGTCGCGACCCCTTTGGCGGTCGAACGACCCTTTCACAGGGGTCGCCTAAGACCATCCTGCATATCAGATATTTACATTACGATTCATAACAGTAGCAACATTACAGTGATGAAGTAGCAACGAAAATAATTTTATGGTTGGGTCACAACATGAGGAACTGTATTTAAAGGGCCAGAAGATTGAGAACCACTGCGTCTCTAAACACAACCCAATGGCTCCCACTCAAGGCATTTTCTGGCCCTGCCTCTGCTCCTCTGGCTTCTGTGGATGGTGATTGCAGAGTCAACCCTCCTGGGTTCTCTGGTGACCGGGGGTCTCAGCCCAAGACCTGGGTGCGGGTCAGCCTACATCACCCCTCCTGCGCTCTCCTCTCCGTGCCTGTGCCCGCAGGAGACGCAGGAGCTGCAGAAGAAACAGCAGTGGTACCAGGAGAACCAGGTGACCTTGACCACCGAGGACGAAGACTTGTACCTGAGTTACTGCTCTCAGGCCATGTTCCGCATCCGTATCTTGGAACAGAGGCTCAATCGGTGAGGGGGGCAGGGGAGCCTGAGGGGACCCACTAGGAAGCCGGAGCACCAGCTCTGTAACCCCACCACCACCTCTCGCTCCTCCCTCCGATTTCAGACACAAGGAGCTGGCCCCGCTGAAGTACTTGGCTCTGGAGGAAAAGCTCTACAAGGACCCACGCCTGGTGGAGCACCTGAAAGTCTATTCTTGATGCCCCTCCTGCACCTCTGGCCCTTCGATGCCCCTCCTGGGGCCTCAGCCTCAGCTGGCAGAGAGAGAAACCTCCCCCACAGCCCAGCCCGTGTTTCCTGCAACCAGCTAATGACCTCGGATTCAGGTGCCTGGCCTCACTGCCGCTCCACCTCCCTGCGGCCCCATCTGTTCCTGCTTCTCATGATTTTTCTGTAAATAAACACACTTGTGATTTGCAATTTATACCTCACAAGCTCCAGCACCAGCCTTTCTCTCCTTCCCTTCTTTATCTATAGTCGGGGATCAACTTCCTCTACCCACCTTGGCCACCTTCCTCCTTGACTTCCGTCCTTTCCATGGGAATGCTGAGCCTTTGCCATACCTCCGCAGGTGGTCTCAAGAATTATGTAGCCTAAAATGTCAATAATACTGAGGCTGAGACACCCCGCTTGGGCTCAGTGGAAACGAACAAACTACAACCACGTGAATGATATGGTTGCATTTCTCAGGGGGACTTCTGAGGAGCTGGTAATAGTCTTCTTGACCTGAGTATGTTCAGATGGTGAAAATTCACCGACCTCGTACCCTTACAGTGTATGGGGTATGTGTATTATACTTCATCATAAAGTGTTTCAAAACGGTGATCATGAATCTAATCATGCTTTGACTTCCATTTAACAAGAAATTCAGATGAAAAGGAACAAGGTAAATGACACTAGAAGGGAAAAGTCCGGCAAAATTATAATGTGGGACAGTCTACAAGGTAAATGGCCCAATCTCTTCAAAAGATCAAAGTCATTAAGGGGGCGGGGGAGGGGAAGATGAAATCGAATGAGCTTAGAAGAGCCAAGTGCCAAATCTTGATGCTTTCCTAATTAGGAAAAACGTTATTAAAAATAGTTTTTGGGGATGATTATGAAAATCTGCCCTGGAAAACAACTGTTCGTTTTCTTGATACAATGATTATGTAGGAGAAGGGTCTGATTTTTAAGAATTACACGCTCAGTAGCATTCAGTGTCAGGGTGAAATGTCTCGATGTCCACAACTTGCAAATGGTTCAGAAAACACACACACGGATAAAGCCAATCAATACAGCAAAATGTTAGCAAGTGATTAAATCCACACGGTACATATATGGGTCATTATATGATTGAAGTAGTCTATATCATTATAGTATTCTTTCCAGTGTTCTCCACGACGTTTTCATTATAAAAGGTTGAGAAATGCAGGGTGGGCAGTGCTGATCGGGTTTTATTCTGCTAATCTGGTCCTCTCTTGACAGTGCCCATAAGCCTCTGCAGTCGGCGTCCCCAAGTACAGTGTGATGGGTGGACGCTGCCTCTTTCTCGCAGCGAGGGTGCAGGGCAGTGGAGATTAAGGCCACCCCCATCCACGGATCACAAATGAAGTCGGCGTTTCTCGGGTTCCCAGTCGGTCAGCGCTTTAAGGAAGCGGCCATCCATCCGCCGAAGACGTCCGCGGTGGAGGCAGCAATCCCGGGCTCCACGCCTGACTCGGACCCAGAATCAGGAAATCTCAGTTTCTCTCCCGGTCTCCGGTGGGAGATTCGAGCCGGTGTTCGAGCCAAAGAGGAGAGAAAAGTCCTCAGACCCGCGGATCCGCCCACAGGTAAAGGGAACGAGCAGGAACCCGTGCAAAATGCTGACTTAAGTACACCGCCCCCGCTTTGCCCGACTACAAGATGGAAGCTCCGCGGCTTCACTCGGGTCCGGATGTCCCCTTCCCATTGGCTATCTGGGAGTTGGTTTTCCAATAATGCGAACGCTGATTGGTCGAGCTGGGACGGTTGCTAAAGCGATTGGTGCAGCCGCCATTGGGAGGGCGTCTCGCAAATTTTTCAAACGCTAACGAGGTTAGAGGGCGAGTAGGCAAGGTGGCTGAAAGGGAAAGTTTGAGGCGAAGGCGGGACCAAGGAAACGGCAGCCCGCATTGGTTCATTAGGGGCCGAGGGGTGGCCCTTGAACCCTTCTTCCTCGTGATTAGCCCAATTCAGGAAAAAAGGGCGGGAACTTAGGAAAAGCGGCAGAAGTGCCTTCTTCGATTGGTCAAAACTGGAAAGAGGCGGAGCTCCCGCGGCAGCTGATTGGTGGGAGAGTTGGGGAGGGCGGGGCTCTGAGCCGGAGGTTTTGTTGTGAGGGTCGGTTGTCAAGCAGCGGCCAATCAGGGCAGGGGATGGAGGCAAGTGGGGGTCGCCCCTGGAGCAGAGCCTTGGCCTCGGGAGCCGCCGCTGCAGGTGGAGTGGGCCGGG